TCAGGTCTGGGAATTGTGCTAACTACTTACGCTAAAGTATCTGTTCAACCTTGAATTTAACTGTGACACTCTTAGTACCTTTCCCAGACCTGAAGAAAAGCTCTGTTTATCTCAGAAATTTGTCTCTCTCATCAACAGAAGTTGGTCCAATAAAAGATATTACCTCACCCACATTGTCTCTTTATGCCCTATGGTAGCAGCCAGAACTGAAGTGTGCAGGCAGCTTGACCAGCAGGGCCCAGGATTTCCAAACACAGCATGGAACTCCATTTGCCTCTCTTGGATCATGGCTGAGTTGACCCAGCCAGGATTGAAACTTGCAGCTACGAGGAAACGAGGTATTTCAAACCTTAGTCTTAGATCACTGAGCCATGGAAGGTGAAAGGAACAAAAAACAGGAAAGAAAAGACACCAGTTGCTACTGTCTGTCTAGTTCATTGTATCTTACTGCCCTGGAACATACCCCTGTGGGAAAAGAGGAATGGTAGAATATTATTCTGCAGATTTTAATCATATTGATTCATACAACTGTTAGGCAGGTATTTTTACAAACTGCATGCCTTAAAAGGAGGTTATTTTTTTCCCCTCTGAATTTCCAGCATTGATTTAGGTCAGAGGGGAAGGTTTCAAAATAATTCTGAAGAAGTTGACTGGACTGGCAAGGAGTGGAAGTGAATGGTATCCAGTTCCCAACAGCTTATTTGGAGAGAAATGGTCTGCTCTTCCAGGCACCAAGAAGGATAAGCTGCCAAGCAAGGCATTCAGACACAAGAAAGAATGAAAGAACGAGGCAAAGGGACATTTGTTTCCTGGTACTTATAGCTTCTTGGGCATCAGAAAATCTGGATACTTTGGCAAAATAAGTATTGCTGTTTTAGTTGTTATGTACTCTTTATTATAAACTTATTTTTGACTTTTTTCCTCCCATGGCAAATGTTGCCATATCTCAGGAGTATACATCACCTGATGGACAATCACACCCTGGCTTACTAAGCAACACCTTCTCCTTTCTTCCTATCTTCTGCTTGTGTTTGGGGTTTAGGGGCAGTTCATCAAGCTGAAGATCAGGTCAGATTCTTATGGTTTGGCTTAGCGCTATTAATCACACATTACCATAACCATTGGTCCCTACTGCATATGGCTTCCTAGTTAGAAAACAGCTGTATGTGCCATACTGCCAGTGTGCTCAGTACACTTTTTATTCTTAGGAATAAATAAATTTCAACACATGTCCTTTGTTTGGCAAGTGATGTTACTTCCCTCTCCCCTCCCTGCTACCTCCCCCCTCCCCCGTCTATGAAAAACGTAGTGCTTAAATGAATAATTTATAAATCTAATGTTTCTGGAGTCTGTTAAAACAAAAACAAATGCTTCCAGTGAAATGATTTCTAATGGACGTTTCTTTCAAAGAGGGAACTCATTATTCACATGTTGCTCGGTATAACCATCTTCTATGTATTACTTATTACAGGCACATGGATAATGCCCACCATAACAGTAGCTGTGCACAGCTAAATAAATAAGTAAATACATTCCCCTGAAACTGCTGAGCTTCAGTTCATCTGCAAATTTGACACCATCAGCTCAGGATTAAACAAAGACTGTGAATGGCTAGCCAACTACAAAAGCAGTTTCTCCTCCCTTGGTGTTCACACCTCAACTGCTAGAAGAGGGCCTCATCCTCCCTGATTGAGCTAACCTCGTTATCTCTAGCCTGACTCACTCTTGCTTGCATATTTATACCTGCCTCTGGAAATTTCCACTACATGCATCCGAAGACGTGGGTATTCACCCATAAAAGCTCATGCTCCAATACATCTGTTAGTCTATAAGGTGCCACAGGATTCTTTGCTGCTTTTACATTCCCCTGTATAGGAACCTAGAAGCCTAGGTTCCCATCAGCATCAAGACAAAATAAATCAGAGACAAGAAGATACGGGAAACGGAACAAGTACTTCTGCAAAAATTTGGCCAACTAGGCAGGTGCTACAATGCTTTCTGAATATAGTCATGTTCAGGGTTTCTGGCAGTAATGAATTCCACAGATTAGAGCCTGCCACTAATAATGCCCTGACTCCAAACCCCCAATGTTTCCATTCATGGGTAATTTTTAATTTTCATTCAAAAGCCATCTTATGACGAACAACATTCCCCATGAAGAGATTTCCCATGCCATTCTTTTTATAGGGCTGTTTAATTTCTTTGTGCAGAAATATACAGATGATGACAATGTGACCAATAGCCCCCAGCCTCAGCTAGCTGTGAAACACTTCCCATGGGCCTTATTTACAGGTACAGAAACACAGAATCAGAACCTTGACACTGTAGATTTTCCTAGAATCTGAGCCCAGGCCCATCATTTTAATCCACTTGCAGTTTGGTAATGGTCAGAGGAGAGATGCTTCCACTTCAAGCTATACATTTTTTTTCCAAGCTCACCTACTCTACCTTCCTTTCTAAAGCAAACTGGTTTCTTCCCTACAGGAATTACGATTAGAAGAGCAATAAGCATAAATTAAGGCATTAGTAGCTCTGTGGCTTGTTGTGAAGCTGCAATTTCAATTGGAGAGTTTTGCTGTTCCATTCTGAAGTGAGATTTTTTTCTGTGAAGGTCTTTCTATCCCTTTGTTTACAGGTTTGCCTGTGCTGCATTTAAGTGCTTTCCATTGTACTTAGCAAGAATGCTTTTATCGTCAGAGTTGTGTGGGGTCTTTTTTATATAGTGGCTAAATCAATTTAACATTCCACAAATAAGAAAGAGACATCTCAAGTAGCCTTCAAAATGCTAGGCCAGCATTTGCTTTCTAAGCCGAACACCCGCCTGGGGGAACATGTCAACTCCTCTTTGTTCCACCTCATAAATTTTGGATTGTGGGGCATGCATAGTTAATTCCTCTTGTTAATTTTATTTCTTTCTATTTTTTTTAAAAAAAGATGAGTATTTAATTGTGGAAAGCGGAGAATAAATCACTGATGCGTTTATTTGCCTTTGTTCATTCCACTTTAAAGACATACTGTGATATAAATTACACATCAGAAAGTCAACCTGTTCCCCAGTTTTAAAAAAAATAGCTCATTTCATTCAGTCACCTTGCTTCCTTATTAGTGGGGGACATCTTCATTTTTAAACCCAAATTTAATCTTGTGCCACTCTGAGCTTGGGTCATCCCATTTACATTAATGTCAATGTAAATTATTGATATCAGAAATGCTGAAGCCTGAAGTTGAGGATACAACTGTTTGTACTAAATAAATAAATCCCAAGTTTTTGAAGCACCTCGGATTGATTTTTTCATATCCCTCATTTTGCATCTTTGCCCCTCACCATGTCCCACTATTTGGGCTTTGGCAGGTGACAATTCACTCATGGTGTGGACAGTGATGACATCTTCAAGCAGGTTTTCTGAACACTCAAGGTCTGCAGGTAGAAGCAGAAGAGGGGGAAAAAAAGGCAGTGGTGGAGGGTAGTGATTACAGAGAAGTGGGGACAACAGGGGAAAACAGCTGGGGGAAGTGTGTCATTTCACATTCTCTCTGATAAGAAGTGCTATACAGATACATATGCACAACCAAAAGATTTTGTTTAGATCCCAGTTGTTGGGTTTTTCATAGAGAAAATGTTTACGTATAAACAGACATAAAAATAGCAATAATATATAGTGAAAAGCAAGAGTGCGTATGTATTGGCCTTGTTGTTGTTGTAACACATACCAAAAAGATATATAATCAAAATTCTACTCCCTATATTCTGTCAATTGTAGGACCTTCTAAATGATCACCAATACACAGCGTAGGCGTTCTTCTTACCCTTTAAGGAACCCGGAATATTGGCAAGCTGGTTTTGCACAGCTGTTACATGCTGAAGTACAGGCTGGGGTTGCTGACAAGGAAATAGCTCTCAGAGTAAATCCTAATGTCACTCTGAATTTAATCAATCATCTTTCCTGGTTGGCTTTTGAATTAGCTGTATGCAGCTGAATAATCATCAACAACCAAGGGACCAGGACTTGATTTAGCATTAATTGGCGTTTGTTACACTGAGGGCTGGTTAGCACCTTAACCTCTGCGTGTATAATGTGAGACAGTTAAACTTGATTAACACATTCACTGCTTTCCAGTAGCCTCCCGCACATACTACTTTGTAAAGAGATACTATATCAGTCGAAACCCAATTTGTTTTGGGTTTGTGTCCTGAACATACATTATACACTTCCCCTGTTGACTAAACCATTATCCCACTACAAGAGAAAATGGCCAGTTTGTCTCTGTGCCATCAAGAGGTGAACGACAGAGAAGAAAGCTTGGCCAGGAAAGTGATGATGATTATAGGGGTGTCAATTGTACTGTGTAAATAAAGGTTGTGTCAGCACCTTCATTCTACTTGGAGGAACAAATGAAAAGTTGGCAGTTAAAAAGGAACCTTAGCAGGTTACACCTGATTCAGATCTTTATTAGGTGGAGCAGAAGTATTTACTGCCAACATGTTGACTCTTTAAAAGTGAGGTACAGGGGCAAGCCAGTAGGACCAGATTTTTTCCATGAATCTTGGTCTCATGTACGGTTTGACTAGGATTTGCAATGTAAGAGAAGACCATACCTACTCTTTTGGGTCAGCGGTCTCTTTGTGGCCCTCTATGCCTCATGTGATGGACTCAATGCAAAATCCCACAAGACAGCAACCTGAAGATGGTGGCAGCAGCAGCAGCTTTTCGAGTCATAGTTGAAGGTACAGTGGGCCAATATGCATTTACAATTCTTTTAAGAGACAAGATTGGGGGAGAAGGAAGTAGAAGGAGACCTTTTAATGGTAATGGATTTGTGGAATTAGCTCAGCTGCTGCTATCATGGAACTGTATGGCAGGATTTCCCAGTTCCTATGCTGCTGTAACTTACAGGGCCCATCACATTTTTAAAGTTCTATTTTAGTCTGTATCAGTCTATGTACACACAGTACACTGGGACTGCACATCCAACCTGCCTGTACAAAACATGCTTCTTACCTGGCTGAGGATCCGACCGCATTTCTTTCCTATTTTTTCCACCAAATCAAAGACTGGGAAGTTCCAATTGTTTAGCTGATCCATAAGAGAGTCCAAGTTGTCCATGACAAGAGGCTCTGGGGCAAGGATAGGTTTGTCCTGCACCAAGAATTAGAAGAGAGAATTCTGATAGATCACAGACTTATGAAAAGTCAAACTAAAGAGGTAAAAGCGCTATAAATCTAGGGCCAAAATTAACCACTGACGTAAGCAGGTGCCATCTCATTGAATACAATGGAGTTACGCTTGTTTCCACCATATCTTAATTTAGCCCTTCTACTTTATAATTGTTGTTAAGCTGGAATTGATAGGTAATCCTGGAAATGAAAGATCAGTGTCTGATTATTACAGCTGCAGAGAGGTCATTCACTTTTATTGTAAAACTTGCATTGGGCAGAAGAAAACATATTCATTTGTTACTTCCATATTGTGGACTGCTAGAGACTAACAACAGGATTCAGGCAACAAATTCCAAGCTAGTCTTACAGTGAATAGAAATGTGTAAGTAACATATTCAGAGATAATAAAATAAGAACCCTTCCCTTGTTCCACTCAGAGAGACACACTGAAAAGAAACCTTTTTTGAAATCTGAAAGAAGTCTCACCCTTTCCCTGCCTCCTACTCTTTACTCTCTCACAGCTCTTCATTTTCAAGTAATGACCGGAAGTGGAAACAAAAGAACCAAAAAACCTCCAGAAAAATCTCTTCTCCTGGCATATCCAGCTCTGACCAGAAGCAGAAATTGCTAGAAATGTTGTTCTCGTGAGAGTTTTTTAGTCTAATTGCACAGATTTAAGGGCCTTTAAAATTTTGATTAAACATTAAAACATTTTCTTGCTCGTTTGAACCAAACTTACAACTCACTACAGTGGTCCTATGAAACATCAGCATATACCAACATTAGTCTCAGAGTATATGGTATATGAGGTACAAATGTCTTTCCCTATATTTAGTACAGGAAATAACTATAATAATTGTGTAGTACCCTTTGGCCAACGTTAATTTTTTAATGGTGACCACTGTATATGCTAAACAAGGTTACAAGGTTTACTAGGCCATTAAAGTGTTTACATGGCTAATCAGAAAGACTGTACACATTGTACTGGTAACATACACAAGATTATTTCCATACCTGACAAGCAAAATTTTCAAAAATGTGTGCTTAAAGTTAGAATCCTAAATCCATATTTATGAATCAAAATAGGTGGCTTAATTTTCAAAAATGCTAAGCACTCAACAGCTCCCACTGATTTGAATGGGTGCTTAGTGCTTTAGAAAATCAGGTCACCTATTAAAAGATACATAAATGTGGACATGACCCGAATTTATGCAATTATTTTGGAAAATCTTGTCCAGGATCTTTAGACTGCATCATTCTTTCCCCAGTGTCTTGAGGTGTATTCGAATAAAGTATGAAAGCATTATTTAAAGCAATCGTGAACTACCTCGGGTGGTATTAAAGGGTGCAACATGATAGTCTCAGGCGCGTATGTTCTGCAGACAGATCCCTTCCGCATCTGTTCTTTAGAGCAATCTGTCTCGTCGTCATTTTGTACAATATCACTGCTGTCGCTGTTGTTGGTTTCATAGTCAGAGGTGGCTTGAGCTGGATCATCTACAATGCAAATTGGACTGTTTTGAGAACTGTAAGACCCTACTAAAAGGCATTCTCTCTGACCAGCTGAGTAATACCAACATGATCTCTGACTCATATACAAATGTGCTACTTGCCTAGGGCTGAAATCTGACAGTCTATTCAACTGCACTGAAAGAGGTACCCCTGCAGGGTCTGAAAACTGGGACCACAGAATGAAGAATGAGGAAACTCTGAGGACTAATATTAGGGTGGGCCAAATTAGGTGACCGAGAGCGAGACCACATTTATTGCATATTTTTAACCCTCTAAAACTGAGTTAATGAAGAGCATATTCAGATTCCTCTTTATAAATACTTTGTGCCACACATGGTATATTTTTAATATACACAATTATTTTTACAGTATATGGACTAGTGCTGCCCTGGGATGAATGCAGCTCTCCCTGAAGTTACTGAAAACCCCAAGCACCTACATCTGAAAGCTGAATTTAGCTTCGTGACTAGATATAAATATACAGATATTCTACTTCCTAGATCCTGAGCAAGAGTTATACAGTTCGAGGTGTAAATTACACGGAGAAATGAAGCAGACAGAAAGAACAGGTGTTGATAGAAAAGTCTGCAATAGAAGAAAGTATTAAAATTTTAGAAAGAATTATTTTTTCTGGATAGAAAAAAGTTATAGGATTTCCAAAAGTCTATTTTATCCCAACTCTTGAAAAAATAAAAAGTGATAGAATAAAATACTGCTGTGCTGTCTGTATCCTTCAAAACAACATTACCACGTACAATGATGTGATAAACAGCCTGAAAAGCAACTTCCAGGGTCTATATGTTACTGAATCATTTACACTTAAAATTAGCGAGTAAACACTCACACAATAAACGCTACATAATGTCCAGGTTCTGGATATCGAATATGGAGAGGAAATCAACATACAATTACCTTACCGAGGCATTAACTTTTGCTATATTCATAGGTTTCAAGGCCAGAAGGGACCTTTGTGATCATCTAGTCCAGTGGTTCTCAAACTTTTGTACTGGGGACCCCTTTCACATAGCAAGCCTCTGAGTGTGACCCCCCCTTATAAATTAAAAACACTTTTTTATATATTTAACACCATTATAAATGCTGGAAACGAGGCAAAGCAGGGTTTGGGGTGGAGGCTGACAGCTCGCAACCCCCCCGTAATAAACTTACGACCGCTTGAGGGGTCTCAACCCCCAGTTTGAGAACCCTTGATCTAGTCTGACCTCCTGTATAACACAGGCCATAGAACTTCCCCAAAGTATTCCTAGAATAGATCTTGTAGAAAAATACCCACTCTTGATTTAAAAATTGTCACTGATGTAGAATCCACCACAACCCTAGATAAATGGTTCCAACGGTTAATTACTCTCACTGTTATAAAATTGTGGAGGCTGCGTGTCTATCTCCCAGGCCAGACACATGCCTGTACCCATCCCTAACTCACCTCTACACTGCACACTCCTTTCAGCAGCATGTACAGTACATAGACTATATGCCCCCCTAGATGGGCATAAATAGCAATGCAGACAATAAGACACTGCTTAGGTGAGTAGAATAAAGACATGCCTGAACCCTGTGGTATATATACCTGGGTATGTACCCAACACGACCCTGTACATGCCCAAGCAGTGCCTCTCACATCTACACTGCTACTTCAGAAGTGAAATGCTCCTGCAGCGGGGAAAGGCTCTGGCAGCTCCCTGTTTCTGGAGCATTTTCCCGCTGCAGGAGCCTTTCCCTGCCACATGGAAATACTCCAGCAGCAGGAAAAGGCTCTGGCAGTTCCCTGCTGCTGAGCCTTTCCACACTGCTTCCTCTCTGCCAGAGCCTTTCCTTGCCACAGTGAAAGGCTGTAGCAGGGGGGGAGCTCTCAGAGCCTTTCCCCACTGCCTCCCTCCTGCCAGAGCCTTTCACTGACACATGTAGCTACATAATGCAGTGTGGACACAGCCTGCTTTTCACTGAGGCGTGTAGCTACACATAGCCGACACACCGCTGTCAGTGGTGTGCAGTGTAGACATAGCTGTAACGTGGCTTCAATGGCGCCAGCCTGCCAGAATCACCATGCCTTGAAAGGGATTTCCTGGCACAGAACGGTCTCCGTGGTAATGTGAATATGGCCTATGCTGCATTGACCCTTCTACAGGTTGCCCACAGAATTGGCGGGGCCAGGGATATATCTCCACCCATCCTCTTCTCTGTTGCAGATCCCTGGACTTGAGGAGGCTGCTGAAATAACAGTTGACACCTTCAGAAACTCACAACCATCCGTTGCATGGAGACTGTCTTAAGGGGATGGTCTTGGCCTAGGACTGTATTTCCTTTCCTTTGGAACAGTAACAAACATCATTCCTGTGATCTCACCCATGTACTATCGCTGTATTAAAAAAAAAAAAAAAAAAAAGACAGGAGTGTCTACACACTCCCTCAACAGCCACATTTTAGAGGAACAACTTTTTTGATTTTACAACCAGAAAATTACCTGTTCTGGTCAGGGCATGTGTTGTTCCATCACCTCTGTCCAGTGCACCAGTGCCAGAACCTATTTGGCTATACGGTCTGCCACAGCTGGAACACAATATCAAAGAACATGAACATTAAAGAATCATGTAAATTACAGAGGAAAAGTCATCTAGACCATTTCTTGATCCTTGCTGCTAGTACAGGATTATGCCCTACCATATAATCTACAGTCCTTTGCGCAGCCAAAGGACAAATTCACAGGAATGCTCTGATTTTTTGTTGGGTGCCAGTATTGCAAAAGGCAGCCATAAACGCGGCTTAACCAGCCAGCTAAGCTGGGTTTAGAGCTGCTTGCCATTGCCAGTGTGATGCAAAGGAGGCACATCATATCAGTGAATCCCACCCCAATATGATTTTTTTAAATATGTTTATTATTTTCTAAGTTTACAAGTCCAAAAGAGCAAATTGAAAATATAACACAATTACACTATTAAAAGCAATTTTTTTACTTTCATAACTGACATGGCAAGCTCCGAGATGCAGGGACTATAAACTGCCAATCTTAGAGGTGTCAGGGGTCAGCCCTGGCACAAATTAAGCACTGAATTCAGGGATATCAAGTGAAAACAGAGTGCAAAGGAAGGCAAAAGTGAGCACACTGTTAAGACAGTCTGTAGGAAACTTGGAGCCCGATCCAAAGCCCTTGGAGGCAAAGGAAATCTTTTAATGATTGCAAAAGTGTAGACCCACTAAATCGACCCCCCTCCCCGGTGGATCGATCGCCACAGCATCGATCCACAGTAAGTGTAGACAAGCCCTAAGTTAAAAAAACAGAGATCCTATGTACGTTATCAGTTTTATCCCATTTAAAAGTGCTTATCAAATTCAAATTGGGTAAACGTCCAAATAATGAGGGCCACAAAATTGGACGACATTAAATGACTTATTGATTTCTTACGCTACAGCATTTAGGAAAGCTGGCTGGACGGTTTTATTGCCAACTAGCCTGACACACTTCACTCAGGTGTGGAGTATAAGGGCTGGTCTACACTGGGGGGGGGGGGATCGATCCAAGATACGCAACTTCAGCTACGCGAATAGTGTAGCTGAAGTCGAAGTATCTTGGATCGAATTACCTGGGGTCCAGACGGCGCGGGATCGACGGCCGCAGCTCCCCCGTCAACTGCGCTACCGCCGCTCGCTCTGGTGGAGTTCTGGAGTCGACGGTGAGCGCGTTCGGGGATCGATATATCGCGTCTTAATGAGACGCGATATATCGATCCCGGATAAATCGATTGCTACCCGCTGATACGGCGGGTAGTGAAGACGTACCCTAGACAAGCAGCACTAAAACCAAGTGCTGAATATATGCCACTAATCTCCTGAGCCTGGAGCACACTGAAGACAAGGGAAGTCTTCTCATTGATTTCATCAGACAGTGGATCCAGTCTTCAATGAGCAGCAGCCTTATAACTGCTGGACAGTGTGAGAGAGCAGGGCTACTATCTCTTGTAAGTTTTTGTTTGCGTTTAATGTATAATTATGTACTCTTTTCTTCATTGTTTTTACCTCATATACCACGAACACATAGTAGCTTACACTCTGAATATCCAGGCTTGAGAAAATGTATTAATTCATAATTAATATTTTACTAATAATTTTACTACTGATGCAACCAACTCCAAGTGACATTCTCTTGTGGGATAACCCAATCTGTCTCCCTGAGCTGTTTTTTTTTATATTATATTTATGTTAGCAGTGGGTACATAAATAATGTGCTAGGGGTTCAGCTTGTATCTGCAGAAGTGACATCTGTATACCAGTAACAAGTAAATTGTTATTGTTACTGATGATTCTGCAACAGTGTTCTCAGTAATGATGATATTTATTATTAGTATTTTAATGGATGGCATTTATATTTGCGTTGACATTTTTGGCTGGGGTACTAGTTGAGTTTAACTATATGTTTATTCCAAAACCTAAATGTTTTGTTTCAAAAACCAGGTAAGGTTGCTAAATGCCAACAAGGTAGTTACTTATCACAGCAACTACTCGCAGCCTCAGCTTTGAGTGTCCCCACTTAACTCCACAGACAGCAAACTCCATCAACAGATAATAAAAACAGCACTCATCAAAAGTCACGTGAATAAGTCAGAAAAAACACTGACGATTTTCGAGAAATAAATGAACTAAACCCCTGGTACTGAGATAGCACGTCAACACTTTCTAGCATCTAATCCAACATTATCTCAAATGAAAGAGACTCCTATTTTAAAGTGTTCTCTTCTCATTGACCCCAGGTCACAAAAATGTAACTGCTGAGATCAAAACTAGCAATGCGATGAGCTTGACTGTGTTCATGCCAATCTCCAACAGGGTTGACACACTTCACACCATGATACTGAAATTTCTCACAGTGTTGCATTGGACACACATTGCCGAGTCCATTATTCATGTTTCACTTCAACTAAGTCTTTTTGGAGACATGAAACAACAGTACTTCCAGGTGGTGACTGCCCAAGTTAGAAGCTGTGTTCTCTTACAGCAACTAAGCGTTACTTAAAGTATGCTATTACTACATTGTTTTGTAATATTTGGCAGTAGCAACAGACTTCTTCATTGCAATTGCTTCTTTAAAATATTAACTACCATTACTATTCTGTGTATTTGTCTCCACCTCTGGAAGGATATAATCCATTCAGTCCATCTTGAGGCCAAGCCCACAGCAATGCAGACTTTAGTTTAATTATTGTGCTAGTATTGTGCTAGTTACAGGTACTGTAACGTAGTAGAAACTGTGCATTTTGAAAACGCTAAAGGCAAAGAGCTAGTGTGGCAGCAATACATTGGGCACAACTATAAAATGTACCTGGGATAGGGGAGAGGATGGACAATCCATTTGAATTTCAAGTACAATAGTTTATCTGAAGCATTTAATCTTTTGCCTTCATCAGAAAAACTGACCCACTGTGGATCTTTGGTCTGTACTTTTCCAAATCCTAGGTGGCTGACTGTCATTTCTTAAATAAGGTTTGTATATTGAAAAACTGGAACATGACCCCAAAGTGTGTGTTATTGTGACTAGAGTGTGGCACGAAAAACACATTTCATTAACATGAAAATTTAGATTAAAAAAATCACAGATCGATTGTCTATAAATCAGACTACATACTCAACATAAGTAAAAGCTTTTAATTGCAGTTAATTGTTTTGAATTTTAAAAATACTGTGTAGCATTGAACTAAACCATTACTGGCATACAGTGAACTGCTTCAATGTGGGGGAAATTATATCAATATACTGTGCTGAAGTAAATCAAGAGTATGGGTAAGAAAAAGGGAAAAACAAGCAGATGGGTATCAAATTAACATCTTACCTGCTACAGATAACAGGGGGCCCCATAATCTGCTCCGAACGGTCAGGTGCGCTCTGAGTAGAAGTTAAAACCTTGTGTGGTTTCAAGGTTTGCTTGGTGTCAGTGTCAGTAGGGTCTGGAAATTGCACAGAAGAGGTTTTGCCAGTGGGACTGGTGGCTGGGGTTCCCTGAATAGGTGAATGGCATGGGGAAGTGAGAGGTGAAATGTTTGGCGGGATACCTAGCAAGAGAAAACAGTTTCTTCAATTCAAAAAAGTCAATATACAGATATATCAATTCACTGTATGCAGAGAGAATTACTTCCGAAATACACAGAGCAATACAAAAAAATTCTCCACACAGGGCCAGGACTCTACTAGCATAAATCAGCAAAACTTCATTGAATCAATAGAGCTATGCCAACTACTAGCTTTACATGTTTAGGGCATATTCCCCTTTGATAAGGGCATACAAGCAGTATACACAAATGAAAGAACACGGTAGGAAAATAAGGGGAGGCAGCATGGTCCAGAGTATATGGCAACAGACTGGGAGTCAGGAAACTTGGGTTTTATTCCAGGTTCTGCCTCATTGTCTGATTCTGGGCAAACCACTTAATATCTTTGCATTTCAATTTCCTCACCTATAAAGTAGAGACAAAAATGCTTACCTGCCTTTGTAATGAACCCAGAGTTCTACATATGAGTAGGTAAGTGATAAGCCAAACAGTAATATTTTAAAATAAGGATAATATATTATCCTTTCATCTTAAAGGATTCCAACATTTTTAGAAACTAGAGAAGACACATGCTCAAGCACCACTGAGATATAGTTGCCTCAGTTGTGGCGCAGAGGCGAGCACCTCTGGGATGAAGTGCAGCACCCAAACCAGTGCACAGATGGGATGTGACAGGGTTTATGTGGCCATTGTGGCTCCCAAGCTGGTCCTGTGGTCCTCCTACACCCCACCCCAAGAAGCAGCAAAGTGACTGGAAAGAAGCAGTGAAGATGGGTCCTCTAGGCCTATCTAGAGAGACCTTAAGGAAGCAGCCAGTCGGAGCCCAGCAGACTCAGATAAAAGGAGATGCAGGGCCTTATCAGGTCAGTTCCTGGCTGATTTGCTTAAGCTGGATTTGCAGGGAGAGAGAGGACCTAAGAATGTTAACCCTGAGATAAGGGTGAAGCTAAAAGGGGCCCAATAGGAAAGGCCCATGGAAGAAGCAGCAACAAACTGGAATCGAGCAGTGTGAAGATGCTATTTATACGATCCCTGGTCTGGAACTCAGCATAGTGGGTGGGCCTGGGTTTCCCTACCTGTCATAGGCAGAGTGGTGTAAACCCTGGAATGGGTTCATTTGGACTTTGTGATTTGACTGGAGGGCCAAGGCATGCAAGACCCACCATGGTCAGCCAGCAGGGGGAGCCAGAAGTGAGAAAAGCACTGCAATACTACACCCAGTCCCCCATTACAAGGGGGGCAAGGAGACATTCTGAGCCAAGACCATTGGGGCAAACCCTTACTCTTCATGATGTAGCCATAGCAGAAAAGACCTTAAAGTCTCATACAAAAGACTCACGAACAATAAACTGCAAGGACGTAAATGTGTGTATTTTAGAAAGATGAAAGGCTGAGTCAACCCGGCTGGAAACTGTACCTGAGGTTACAGGGAATGTCACGCTTTCAGATCTGCTAAGCCATATTTCTCATGCTCAGCCACCCAGTTTTTTTTAATCATGTTTATTTTCAAGTCTACAGAAAATGTTATTTTTACTTGTTTGAACGTTTCTGTGGTGCCAAACTACCTAAACATATTTTTGGTAAAACAGTCATCTCTGAATTAGAAAATAATTTTGATTTAAGATTATGAAGCATTAACTATAATAGTAAAGGCTTTTGATGTTTGCATCTTTCTAGAAATCCACATATCCTCAATATGTCTTTTTGATGTCCTCTATCACTTTAAAGGAGTAAAAATATGGAACCTTATTTAATGGTGACCATTGAAAAGTCAAAATTTGCTGTCAGTTATCACACAGTATTATTTGAGATACCACCATTTTTCTATGTACCAGGGCAGAAGCACATTTCTTCTCTAGGGAGCTCAAAATTACATCTCTGTTATTTTAATCTCTTAGGTTCTCATCTTGGCTTTATCCCTTTGTTTATAACTGCTACTCTGTTATTGTGATATCTATCTACTTCCACTTCTAACTCATCACTGTGGTATCTGAGAACTTCTCTGCCCAAAGGGCCCTCAGGTTCTTTATATATTGTATACATGCGGTCTACACAGAAATCTCTTTGCCCAGTACGGAAATGCAGCCACCTCTGAGGAATGACATAGTAGCGCAAAGCAGCTATATAACAGCTTAGGTCAGGAAGTAAAGCAGAAGTCTGCATCCAATGCTGCAAAGGAAATTTTCAGCAAACAGTATGTAGTCTGTAATTAGCCAAACTGCAGTTTGGCCACAGCAGTAGAGCTAACACCCCTAATTCTTGCAAAAAGTGCCAGGATCTTTAATGCTCTTAGGGGTGAAGGATCTTGGCTTTGCATTTTATCCAAAGGGCCATATCCCTTGCAGCATACTTGCTGCTCCTCACAAAGAAGTGAAGCGAATAGCTCTGCATTAAACAAATTCAGTTAGAAATCCTGTGTTGTACGTAAGCAATATTACTGCATTGCATTCAGGTATGTAATTAACCTGACAGCTGGGTGGCTACCTAATTTTTGAGATATTTTACTTGTACCCAGAATGCATCTGCTATGCTACTGTAACACATTCCTGTACCAAGCATGCCATAACATTCTAGAAACATCAGTGGAAGGTTAATAGGACAACAGCAGCATAACAGGTGCAGTGAAAAAACAGCAGTGAAAGAGTTACAAAAAAAGCAATGAAGAGAATCATTCTAAAATGAAAATATTTTTCCTCTTTCAGAATGGGAAAAGATTTGTTTATACATTTTTATAAGCAGGGGATAGATGGAAGAGAAATAAGAAAGAAAAAGAGGCAAAAATCTCCTACAGCTTTAAATTGTGTGTGGATTTTATATTTGTGGCAGATTTTTCTAGACAGTAGGGTCAGGATCATGCCAACATTTCCATTATAAACTTCCTTTAATCATATGGGTGAAATCCTGACCCTATTGATGTCCGTGGTAAAACTCCTATTGACTTCAATAGGCCAAGATGTCACCCATCTCAGGGGAGTTATCAAAGTTTGCTCCAGGCTTGAAGTTGAAAAACAATTTCTTCTAGCAAACATGGCTGACGGTGATCTAATAAACATGCAGATATATTTTCAAAATGGTCTCTAATTTTGGATTCCTTGGGGCCCAACATTAGGCCAGGAAGACAGGTCCCACGTACTTCCCTTTGATCAGTGGATTTTCAGCACTTCTGAAAAACAGCCCCAAGTTGTTTCAAACTGAGCACCAAAATCAATGGCTGCTTTTGAAAATTTCAGCTCAAAGGTGCTGATTTAGCAAGAAAAGCCATGGTAACAATCTTTATTTGGTGCTTGAGAGCATGGGGAAACATTCTTCTGGACTCCAATACAAGTCAGGTAAGATAGCCATCTATAGACCATTGATGAGTTCAAAAAACTGTTCTATTGTAAATGTTATTATCAGTTAAGAAGTTATCTTCCCTATTTTTTTTCTGGCTAAAACATTATCTGGAAGTTTCCCAGTACTGAGTGAAGATGTTATGTAACATCACCTGTCACTACAATGTCAGAAAAAGAATTTCTAGGTTTATTCTTTTTTTAAAAAAAGAACCTTTTGAAACTAGTTGGATCCTTTTATTCATTGGTTACTGGTAACTTTTTTTGAAACCTTGTCTAAGAGCTGTGCTTCACAAATTGGCAGATATGCATTTGATTTGATCTGACCATCAATAAAGGCCTTTTAGACTTTTTCCATGACAGACGGAAAGGCATATAGGTTAAAATGTTCTTGTCATTTGGATATAATTGTATGATAAGGACAATTAGCTGCCTATGCCTATCTCCCACAAAGACAAATTCTATTGTTTATTATAACCAGGCAAACTTAATGAAGACAATGGAAAATATACAGACGGTCAGTTTAACGAGTATGTTATGAGATACAATTGGTCTTCAACCCTACTGGAGTCAATGGGATTGCCTAGAGGTAACTGAAGGCAGAATTTAGCACATAGATCACTGAAGTAATAGAACAGAAACGAACAACTTTTACAATGGAAAGGTCAAAACACTACAGCAACACTACTATAAACTGTAGCGTTTTAGATCACTGTGTTTTTAAATGATGGAAATAACTGAAGTCTAATTTATGGGAATGTGGGTGAAGAGAAAGAGTAGACGGAAAGCAAAAAATGCTGTGTGTGTCAATCACCAGATTTCCCAGAGTACACTGCAGCTTTAGGGAAAGCAAGCTTGACTAAATAAAATAAACGTCAAACCAGAAATAGCTGTTCACCTTGTCGGCTTTGCCTTTTGGAATTCAGATGGTTTGTAGCAGACATCGCATAGGAGGCCGAGAAGGACCTACTTTTTGTGATGGCCATCAGAATTGAGCTGTTCCAAGGGTCAGTGCTGTAAGATCAAGAGTACAAACACACACAACTATTATTACATAAGCATTGCTGCCTGCAAAGGTCTTGGTGACAGAGTTCTGAGAGAAGTTAATCGTCACAGCACTCCACATGTAAGAACAAAAAACTCTACTATGGAGGGCTGCATTATCAACTGTTTCAATTATTATTTTTAGTGAATTCAGTATTGCCGAGAGGTGCTGGACTGACAACTCCAGACATTTAAGTCATTGATTTAAGCCAAACACAGTTACAACATTGGTACGGTAAGGTTCTTCCAAGCTGGCTTTCCAATTTACCTCAACCATGCTTTGGTGCTGGTGAGACTGCCGCTAGGAGTGACACCAGTGCCCAGGCCTTTTCATTTAATTTATACTAAAATTCCTTTATGCTGTGCTGATGGTGTGGAAGCAGTCTGAAAGTGGGCTTCAATTAAATTTACACCTCGTTAAGGTCTCTTTACATACCTGGAGCTGTATAAAAGGGCCTTGCTGACCATGAAAATCAGGCCCATTGGATTTTTCTCCTCAGATTGCCAACAAGGGTGCCACTTAATGCAATCTGTAGTGATACAGCTTCCACAGCAGGATGGAATCACACTGGGGGGAAGCTTGCAGTACTGCTGCCTGTGGTGTGTCTGCTTTGTGGATAAATAGAGGCCTCTAGTTCCCAAGGCTTTCAATCCAGCACCTTTCAGATACATCACATGCAGCTTTTGAAAAAAAATCCCTACTAAGAGACTCTTGGAAAGCTACTTGTAGATATCTGCTCACTGATCTAAGAGAAAATCATTGAAAAGCACCATAAAAAAGAAAAAAACAAAAGGGAAAATGAGAATGGCAGTCTTGGCACTTCTGTATCTTTTATGTCCTGATGCCAGGTGATTCTGTAAGGTGGAAAAGCTGCTTTTATCACTGTAATTTAATAAAGGAACCGCCACATGCCACCTGCTTACACGGATGCCTCAGTGCGTTCTTCCACAATGAGGGCACAGATCCATAAGGCCTTTGCCCTCTAATCCTTCAAATGTCTTGTCATGACCTAACTCTGCTGTGCTTCAAGATTCTAACACAAGATGGTGAACAGGTCCCAGTCCTTCTGATTTTAAATGCTGACATAGAATATAGGGCAACAGATGGTCCCTCAAAGCAAACTGGGTCCTATACTACTTAAGGGATTTTATATTAAGAGGAATTTTTTATATCTTACGGCAATTTTTTTGTTTTACTTCTTAGCACCACAGGAATCTTACTGCTATGGAAGAGCAAGCTAGGTTCCGTTCTGTTTCATGGCGTAGCTAACTTCAGATGGCAGAATAGTTATCTGTCATGAAGCAAAAGGCAGAATGAACCCAGCTGGTTTTTGGATCCTAGGATGAGAATGAAATGCTGGGAGCTTGGAAAATCTTCTAACTTGTTAAGGAAGTGACTCTGAGGAAGTGAATATGGAACCCTAAGATGTTACTTTCATGAAGTTACTTTCCTTTGAAGCTATGCAAGGACCTTGCCTCACCACTTCTGTTGCATAGAGGGAAGTGTGTGCACAGGATTCTGGAACCTATGCAGCAGTCTAGGCAAAGCTGGTGAGCCCACAACTATGGAAATACATAGGCTACCTCCTGCTCATAGGGGTTGTGGGGCACAAAAGCTGCAGACCCTGTGATCTGTGGAGCTGCCACAGAATGGCTCTATTGCCTTTTTTGTGGCTTTGAGGATAACAGAATGGTGCACATTCCTTTCCCTCCCAATCCAGTCTCACTTTGACAAACACAGATAAAGTGCGAGGGAAAAAATAAGCCATTAAATAGATTTTTTTTCCTAGTCAAGACCTTTTTCTTGAGTGTTTTATTGATGCAAAATGCCCCAATTTGTTTGGCTAAGTTATGCTAGACATACAGCCCCCACTTTCCTCTTCTGGGAATTTGAATTGCTTCTGCTCCTGTAATGGACGAGCTGTAAACAATAGGCTGGGAGGCTGGACAGAGCTATCCTTATGCAATTGGTGACATTAAACTTAGGAAGAATTGATAGCCCGTTTAGTTGGCTCATCATAAAGAGTTACATAACTAGAAAAACACCACCAGCAATATTTAATTGCTCCCCTCCCCCTCACTTCAGATTCCCTTCTTAGGAAGCTTACATACTACGTGAGAGTCTGGAATCAACAATATAAATCAAGAAAGCTGTATGAATCACAGAAAAACAGTGGCTGAAAAAGATTTCCACATGGTGCTATCTTGTTTATATTTCACTTTACTTGGTTTCTAAGCTATACTGCAGCCCCCAGATATTTTCAAGGATGCCTCTGTGGCTGGTTCCAGGGCTACAAAATATGATCATCTTTTTTCTTCCCCTCTGCAGCTTTTACCACAGCTAGGGCCATGGCCTTACTAAGGGTATGTCTACACTAGATCGGCGGGTAGTGATCGATCTATCAGGGATCGATTTATCGTGTCTAGTGTAGACATGATAAATCGATCCCCGATCGCTCTGCCGTTGACTCCTGTACTCCACCACGGCGAGAGGCAGAAGCAGAGTCGATGGGGGAGCGGTGGCAGTCGACCCTGCGCCGTAAGGATGCGAGGTAAGTCGACCTAAGATACATTGACTTCAGCTACGCTATTCTCGCAGCTGAAGTTGCGTATTTTAGGTCGATCCCCTTTCTCCTCCCCCCCCCCCCCCCGCAGTGTAGACCAGGCCTTTTTATCCTATTTGCCGCTGGAATGCTTCAGGTCTCCCCTAGTGGCAGCCTCCTTGAGAAGGCCTGAAACTTCAGGCATCCTCAAATAACATGGGCCTCACCATTTCCATCCCCATAAAATACTTGCTGTGATCCTGTTCCTGTAGCAGCAAATGGTTTATAGGATAAGCTCTTTAATAAGATGAGATAAAAGGGACTGAGAGAATTTGGAAAGGTTGTATGTTGATGGCACAAGGAAGCTTGGAAGCCTTAACAGCCATGAACAGAAAATTTAGCTCTTTATTTTGTTTCTATACCAGAACTATAAACTTTGTAATAAGAATTTATGAATCCCCACATAAAATTGTATGGTGCACCTGTTGAGCAGCACTTCCTGGGAACGTTGAAAACTAGCCTGGATACAGTGCTAGAAAATGTTCTGTAAGGAATGGTTCTACACATCTTTGCCCCCACCTATGTCTCTGGTCTCAAATTCTATCATGTCTGCTTCGTGCACTAGGCAATCAATGTTCTCCTTCCTAATTCCTCCCTTTGTGTCATAGTTCTTATATTGTACCTTTTTAATGCTTGGAACACTCTCTTTCAATACTCTCCTTTTCCTCTTTCAAACCCACTTCTTTGGCCTTGCCTTCCAAGATTATGCTCCTCTGTGGTGTTGTCTGCTTACACTTTTGCAAATGACTTTTTATTGTTTGCATTACATTTGAATGAGTTAGCTTGAAAGCTCAAGGTTGAGACCTTATCTTCTTTTATGTCTGTAGAGCCCCTTGAACACTTGTGGTGTTCTTGAAATAATAATATTAATGGAACCACTAAAACACACCATGAAATTTCTTGCTCTTATTGTCAGATGTCTGAAATTGTACATTTCATTTAAAAATACTTATAATCAATCATCAGAACCAGGGGCAGCTCTATGTTTTTTGCCGCCCCAAGCACGGCAGTCAAATGGCTTTCTGCAGCATGCCTGTGGGCGGTCCGCTGGTCACGCAGATTCGGCGGCATTTCTGCAGGTGATCTGCCGGTCCCGCGCCCTCAGCATACCCACCGCCGAATTGCCGCCGAAGCCGCGGGACCAGCGGACCTCCTGCAGGCATGCCGCCGAAGGCTGCCCGACTGCTGCCCTCACAGCGATCGGCACGCCGCCCCCTGCGGCTTGCCGCCCCAGGCACTCGCTTGTTGTGCTGGTGCCTGGAGCCGCCCCTGATCAGAACTATCTGCTCAGAAAATGCAGAGGAAAGAGTATAAGGATATAGCAGAAGAATTTAGCAAAGACCTTTAATAGATAATTTTTTTTTACATCATCTTTTTAAGTTCTGGTTTTGCAACTCATTGAATCTTTTGGCTTTTAAACCTTGCTGAATTTGTGTTTGTAGTAATCTGGCCTAATATAAAGGTTTTAATTCTCTAAAAAACAAAAAACAACAACAACAACAACAAAACCCCCCAAACCTAGAATGGGAACTCTTTCAAATTTCTGATCTACAGTTTCCCAAGAGAAGACATTATTACACACCTACATGCCCACAGAAAACCAAAGAAGTTCTCCGAAAGATACAAACAGGATGGTTTTCTTACCTGGATGAAGAAGATTCATGAGGTTTGATGCTGCCACTGCGGTCTCTTCTCACTGGTGCAGGCTCCAAGGTAGGTAAACCTGTGGCAGATGTTGTTGTGGTCCAAGTTGATGACACTCGCCTGAGTAGACCTGGAGGCAGACTCTTCCGTAGGCGCTACAGCAGATAATACTTTGCAATTATATATACCACCTTTCATCGGGGATCTAAAATGTCAATTCAGTAATTGAGCCTGACACACCCTGTGAGGTGGGTAAGTGCCATAAGCCCTATTTTACAGATGGGGAAATTGAGGCAAAGAAAGATCAAGGGACTGATTGTCAGAAGTGCTCAGCACTCAGAGGTCCCATTGGAGTCAACGTTAAGGAACTCAGCGCCTTTGAAAAACAAGCCCTAAGTGACTTGGCCAAAGTCACACTAGCAAGTTGCTTAAAGAGTTGGAAATAGCAGCCACACATTCTTTGACATCAGAGATAGGAAGCAGGAAAGGAAGCAAAACAAACAAAACAACCCCTCTCTTCGCCCCTCCCCCTCCCGCCAAAACCCCCCCAGCAGGTTTCTCTGCTCTATCCAGCCAAATTGAAGACAATCCATGAAAATCAAACATTTACGTGATGGGACACAATCTTCCACAATGCTTTTGCAAAAAGGAAGAAAAATTACTAGCAAAAATATTTCATGGCAAGGCAAGGGGGTGGGGAGAAATTCTAGTGGATTGCTTGCAGCCGAGTTTTCCTGACTTATCTGATTGTCTTGCATGCTCCTTAGATCTCTCTACCTGATCCTTGTAGATGGGGTTTTTCCCAGATGTCTGGCGAGGAGGCAGGTTGAGGGAATGGGTGGAGTTGATTAGGGGGTTACTGTTATTTGTGGGGTCACTTTTATTGCGGATATACAAGTGGTCACATCATTATGTTGCAGATGTTGAATTTTTATATTATTTGTTGCCTTTTAATTATCGTGAAGAATGTTCAGTTTGAGAACATTGAGAACTAAAAAAAATAACTATATACATATTTATAAGGATCTACAGTGGATGTCACTGGCTTATTGTGCCACTGGATCAACAGATTCAGTCTGAGGCAGAGACCGTGCATGGTAAATTTCAGCCCAAATGGTTAAAGTTTTGCAAAGTTATAAGCAACTGAAATCAGGATCTCATAATGGGAAGTGTCAGGCAACCTTAAGAATAAGCAGTCCTTCAGCCCTGCCTATAATACATGATGTGTTTGCTGTATATGTTGTTTTTTCAAAACTATCTAAATATGTTAGTTTGTATCTAATGTACCTTGTTACAGAGAGCCTCCCAAGAAATTCAGCACTTGCCAATCCACAGTGATATCTTAATATCTACTATTCTATGCATATGGAAATATCACCATTACTGCAGTCATCTGGGCCAATGAATATTGAGTTTTCAATAGGAGCTATTACATTATATAGAGTATATACAGCAAAAGTGCTCAGTGGGACTAATTTTTCTTCAATTAAAGGAAATGTAAGCTCTATAAAAGTGAAAGAGGCATATTAAAAGTCCTATAAAATATAAAAGTTGATGATCAGTTGCCTCCATTACTGTAGGCAGCAGAAATTATTTGTACAGGATATGAACAGAACAACACAGAATTGTTTTACTTAGTTCCCAAAGTAAAATATAAGCCTTGCTGCTAATGGCAATATTACTAAATTTTTATATGTCAGAGTGGATGACCTGGCAATTTAAATTACCTCCAAGCTGATAAGAGGTTTCTCTCTATCTATTGAATTTTGCTAACTTGTGTATATAGAAACCAGGAATTAATAGCATTGGTTATTTCTCTATGGGTATGTCTATACTGCATCTGGGAGCGAGCCTCCCAGCCTGGGTACACAAGCACATGCTAGCTCTGCTCGAGCTACTGTATGAATAAAAAGCAGTTTAGATGTGTTAATACCTTGTCTTTACATACATAGCTCTGCCAGCGCAACTCAGTCCTTACTGAGGACTGAGCAATGGAGACCTTTCTTGAGCAAATGTTGTCCACTATATGGAATTGTGTGGTGGTTTTTTCAAGTGGACAATGGTCATTTGAGGCATGACCCAAAGCACATGGAGGTCAATGAATAAAGATACCCACCGACTTCCATGGGTTTTGGATCAGGTGCTAAGGGACTAAGAAAAGAACATCGAACTCATTTCACCTGTAACTCTAATTAAGATTTGAACTCTGATCTTTAGAACTGAAGAGTGCACTGATCTCACCATTTCATTCCCTCCTGCTTAATGACGCATAATGACATCACTTGCTACCAACACTCACTGGTAAAAGTTGAAAGGGGAGGGGGAGTTTTCAGCACTAAAGTAAAAGGAGGAAGCAGAGATGAGTTCCCCCAAGTCAGAGAGATTAGGAGGAGCTCCCCTCTACTTCTGATAGTAAAGAGAGAGAGCTGTGCTCTTCCCGGTCCCCCTTACTCCAACTCCTTCAAACACCTACTAAGAAACAGGAATAGCAAGTATGTAAATTATCCTGAGTTGAATGTCCATTTCTAAAGTTGCATGAAGGATCAGGTTTGAACTGTGTGAGCATTGAAGGAATAGGAACTGTCTTACCACTACAACATTAGTCCATTTAATTTTGCTTCTTATAGAAGTCAATGATTAATGCTTCAGAAGGTGAGGAAAAAATCTCCATTAATACACCCAACCATGCAATACTATACCAAAAGGGGGGAGTCAAGTTTTCGTAGCTGGAATAAATTCACTGTGATAGCCAACATATAGACTAGCACATACCTTGGGAATAGTCAGCTTTTCTCCTTTTTCTGGACATTCCTCTGAGTCAGAGCAGGTGTAGTTCTCACTGAAGGACATCAAAGGGTTAACCCTTGGCTTATGAATAGCCTGGAAGGTTAACTGCGTGTTCAGCAGGTTGCTCACTGCTCTCAGGGAAGTACACACATTAGGTGGCAACGAAGGATCTGCCAGTAGGTCGGTAATGAGCCCATGAGCTTCTCCCATAACAGCGATATCAACTGTAATACTGGTACCTGAAGACTGAAAGGGAAAAACAAAGAAGTACATGTAAGGCTATGGCTGTGTCCCATATGTCAAACTAAAGCACGTGGCATCAAACCCAACACCTTTTCAGGGACAGTTACCAGCATCTTTTATTCAATTTGTTGTTGATAGCTAGGAAAAGATTAAAAGAAATTAACTACTTAAAACAATGTGATTTATTCTGAACATTCTGACCAGATCAACCATTAGGTTGATGTCTTTCTCTTTAAACAAGTTTGCAAATTGACTGCATGACTGCATATAGTTTATTTAGATTTTTAAAACGGTCACAACACAGATACAAGTTTTTAAGAGCAGTCAGAAAGCAGATGACGATGATGACAAAAACTCTCTGCCAAGTAAGAGTGCGCTGGGCAACAATATTGAAACTTGAATATTGGATGTCATTCTAAGTGATATGCTCTAGTTGAGATGAAAGTTATTGAGCTCCATACAGGAATGCCAGAGTGAAATTCTACACAGGACGCCAGACTAGATGATCATAACAGCCTTGAAAGTTTATCAGTTTATGAAATAATAATGGGAACATAATTAAAAAATAAAGATTATTAAATAAAAAGAAAAGTAGCACTTTAAGTAATAGCAACATATGCAGAGGAATGATCTATAATGTGCAAGTAACCACTAATGGTACAGCCTTTAAGAAAAGATTAAGGAACTGTAATGTCTAATGGAATAAGCTATATGAATAAAAACTGGAGGCTTAAATTAAGTTGCAGAATAGACAGGAACTGAGGCAAAAAGTGTGTCTTCCATTACTTCTAAATTATTGACAAAGCAGTGGCATTTCTAGGTCAAAAGTTTAGTGGAAGCACTATAAATCACTGTTGCTCCACATGGGATCATCAATTAAAGGCACTCTTGAAAGTGACTGCTAGGCTGTTACTGCTTTGGAGCGCCCTACTGGGCACAGATGCAATGTATATATCCGGGGCACTGGAACAAATGGCCCCACAGCCATTCTTGGAAGATCTATTTTGTCAACCTATCCGATGTGAAGGATGCGTAACTCAGATGAAGAAACATCTATTTTACTCTGATAGATACTCACCTTTTTAAAGTGGGATAATGCCCCCAAGTGATAGAATTGCCACTGTAACAGAGCATAATATTTTTCTGGGTTGGCACGCTGACAGGTTGGAGAACGAAGCATGCTCTTATAATGGGAGACAGGTCATAACACAAGTAGGAGAAGAATCGCCAGTCACTACAGCATTTATGGAACTCATAATACATAAAACAATAGCAATCCTCGGTAATGCTTTGAACTTCTTCAGGCTCACAAAACCCTTTGCAAACAATACTGAAATAAACACTTCTGAGGAATTGTCTGAATTTTACACACTGGCAAACTGAGGCACAAAAAGAGAGAGTGATTTGGCCAAGGTCACCTAGTGATTCCGTAGTCAGCCAGGAGTAAAACTCCAGTCTCCTAACACCCAGTGCTGTACTTGCGTCACAGGACCACCTATGCTTCTGCACTTCCTACTATATGTCTTACTAAACATGGAAGGTGACTTACTTTGTATACAGAAATGCTATCCAATCCCAATGAGAAACAAAAGGCTGACGTCAATTTAATGGATCAATTTATTCTTTCTTTTACAGTCCCCTTATCCACAGCTAGTACAGGGATCTCACACCAACACCCTTCCAGCCCACATACAGCCATGTTACAATGACCAGAATCCCCCAGGACTCATTTCTTACCTCATCTACAATGATCCCACTCTCCACGCACATACCTTTGTGACTAAAACCCAGCAGGGTAGGGAGAGGAAGAGAAGGAATCTGCTCATTTGCCCTGCCTCTCTTCAGAGAAGGGACTAGAGCCCAATGCGTTGGTACAGAGAGTTCTGATCTTTCCTTCCTTATAGCAGAATGCATTTAGTCCACTAGACACCTTCACCACCCACCCTGCACTACACTTGCTAAAGAGAACCCAATGGCCGAGTGGTAAACAGACTCAGAGTGACCAATTGCAGCATCCCAAACCCATACAGGTGCCCAGAGACAGCAACTCCTGGAACTGTTCCCTCCGCAGGTTATGGAAGGGTTTCCTAGTGTTCTCAAGATAAGGTTTCATTCATTTACGTATCATACCTCTTCCCAACCAACAAGGGGCTTGTTTCCTCCAAGATTAAAGGCAAAACTTGAACTGCAAGCCCACATCTCCTGAGCTGGGTTTGCACCATGAACAAATCTGGCAGCGGCTAAATAAAGCATCAACTTTAAATTCTAAGGCAGGGTTTGGGGTGAGAGGAATAATTTGTCTATCTTTATTTCAGCCCAGCAAAACAGGCCAAAAGGAAAAAATTCAAAGATATAAAGCAAAGTGTTACAGAAGAGGAAACAAAAGTAGGTCTCATATTTTCAGCCAAAAGCACCATTTAGAATTTGAAATCCTATTAAACCTGTAGTCTGAAATCAGTGACCTGCTTATCGGAGCGAGAGATCAGGAAATACATTAATACTTCAATAAAGGAAATAGGTCTGACTTCAGCAGGACAAAAGTATAAGCCCATATTCTATATTGTGATGCTGACATTTTGCAGAGTGGCCGTTAAGCCAGCATTGCTTTCCCTGCGAGGAGCAACTGAGCAAAAAGAGTTCTCTAGGGGCATAGAGCTGACATACAGACCATGGCCAGGCCTTCCCCGTGACTTGGCAATCCCAGGTTGCCTTTAGTGCATTAGCAGGCAACGTAATTTACAGAAGTACAAGGTAGCCTTTGCACTGGACTAATGTAGAGGCTTCTGTGTCACAACCTGTCTTGTTAAATTTAGGCACAGATCATCTACAGTAGCCCAGTGCAGAGGCTATCTTGTGCTTCCCTAGACAAACTCACAGCACATAACACACTATTTTCATGGTATTTATCAATAAATGGTAGTGTCTGAGGTCTCTACTGAAAGCTTCTAACTTATCAATACTCACTCATTGTGAGGTGCATCTATGGGTAATATTTAAGGAATATTTAAGGAGTAACTCTACTCAGAATTATGCCCTTATGGTCTTGGAGTGAAAGTGAATCACCAAGGAATCATATGTCTTGGTGAGGGCCTATTCAAGAAGGAGGGAGTTGTCACCCCCCTTTCCGGCTAGCCAACTATGTAATGTATAGTGCTCCATTGTCTGCCTTGGTGCCAACCCAGAAAAGTCAATGGAAAACCATCAAAGACAAACTATAATCATCAAAACCAACTGGAAGTGAAAACGTACGATATGAGAGTGAGGGGATCACCAGGGTAGGACAAAAGACAAAAGACTGATTCACTATATCTCTGGGCAGAGAAAGACACTCTGGATCCATTCACTGAGGAAGTACCTTGATGAGCGAGGTGCTTCATGAAAGACAGGGGCCACCAAACATTACAGAAGACTGAATTTTGGGGTGAGAATCTACTTTATTAGCTAGGTAACTATTAATAAACGTAGGCCCTAGTTTGTGAATGATGATTTTGTTTTGTACAAAACCATTTATTTCTATCACTCACACTTGCTTCTATTTGAATCACTATTCTTTCTTAAATATATTTCCTGTTGTTTTACCATAATTGAAATTCAATGTCTGTGCGTGATACAGGAGCAGGGATTTAAGTTAAATGGGGTAAAACATGGTACACTGTTCATTTGGGAACAGAGAATCTGGGATTTCTGTGGTATCCAGTGATCAGGGGCTAGACACCACAGGGGGATACTTTGAAGGGAGTCAGGGGTTGGGGTACATCTACTATCAAACTGCAGGCCCCAGAGGAGAGCACTTGAGTAGCTGACAGGGTGGTTTTGTTAGTAAGCTAACACTCAGCTGGCTCAGGCAAGACTCCCTTATGCTGGGGACAGGTGGCAACAAGGTGACCTGAGAAGCATCACACAGGTATATATTCCCCTATTTGTATTAATGAACATTTCAGTTGAAAACATGGTCCTGTAATTGCTGGAATTTTATAACGTTATGTGTACGTGTATATACACACACAGCGTACATGTTATGGAAATATATAAATGCACAGTATCTCCCATTGAAGTTCTAACTAGGCCTCTACCCTGCTTACCGTATGTTATCTGACAAGATCACAGCGACTGTTACCATTCAAATGTCAACAATCTGTTCTGTATGGCATATGTATCACAGTATTTCACAATACTTAAAGGCATCTCTACACATACACTTGCTGCACAGCAAGTTAGGGTGTAAATCTATACTGCTCCAGCATGCCACACACTGAATGTCTGCGTGGACCCTGCTGATGCAAACTAAAAGTTCCCTAGTGCACACTGACGTACTGCTTTTTCAAACCACAGTATATCAATGGAACTTTTAGCGTGCAGCAGCAGTGTCCACACAGATAGTGTGTGGCATACTGGGGTGTTGTAGATTCACATCCTAGCTGTAGGGTGACCAGACGTCCCGATAAAATCGGGACCGTCCCGATATTTAGGTGTATGTCCCGCGTCCCGCAATTTGTCCCGATATTTCGCTCCGCCGGCAGCACGGGTTTTTTTTTTTTCTCCGCCGGCAGCACTCGGCTTTTTTTTTTTTTTTTGCCCTGCCGGCGGCCCCCCCCCCTCCACGTCCCCCCATGTGTCCCGATATTTTCTTCCTCTCATCTGGTCACCCTACCTAGCTGGCTGCACAGTAAGTGTTCATGTAGAAATGCCCTTAGAAGTGGAGTACTTGTGATCCCCCCAGAGATACCTCTGTATAGCAACTGAGATCAAAGGCAGACTTTTAAAATGGCAATCACTATATATTACAATTGCAAAAAACTTTTTAAAAAAATTGTAAGGCCTAAATTGTGCAAGTCTTATAATTAAATATATAAATAAAAAAATCTAAAACTACATATAGACAAGTATCAATTCAACAAGGATACAGTGAGGAAAGAAATGTAGGAGACATTTTGCCGTAATAAATTAGGTTCAGTGAGGTAACAATGCACATTGAATACAAATAGTTTACATGTCATAGGTTG